AAACTATATATCTGATAAGGGGTTATTATCCAAAATATAAAGAACTCATACAACTAATAGCAAAAAAGCAAATAATCCAATTAGAATATGAGCAGATGAACTAAATAGACATATTTCCAAAGAAGACATACAAGAAGTATGTCAACAGGTACATGAAAGAGTGCTTAACATTGCTCGTCATCAGGTAAATACAACTCAAAACCACAGTGAGATATCACCTCACATCTGTTGGGATGACTGTTATCAAAAAAAGAATAGCAAGTGTTGGTGAGGATGTGGGGAAAAGGGAACCCTGGTGCACTGTTGGTGGGAATGTAAATTTGTACAGCCAAAATGGAAAACAGTATGATGAATCTTCAAAAAATTAAAAGAGAACTACCATATGATCCAACAATCCTACTCCTGGGTGTATTTCCAAAGGAATTGAAATCAGTATATCAAAGAAATATCTGCACACCCATTTTCGTTATAGCATTATTCACGATAGCCAAGATATGGAAACAACCTGAATGTCCTTCAGTGGATGAAAAGATAAAGAAAATATGGCATGCATACACACACACACACACACACACACACAATGGAATATTATTCAGCCATTAAAAGGGGGGGGGATCTTGCCTTTTGCAACAGCATGATGAAGCTGGAACACATTATGCTAAGTGAAATAAGCCAGACAGAGAAAAACCAATACTGTGTGGTTTCACTTATATGTGGAATCTAAAAAAATTAAAACAAACAGCCAATTTCATAGAAACAGAGATTAGAATGGTAGTTGCCTGAGGTTGGAGGGAAGAGGAAATAGGGCGATGTAGGTCAAAGTGTACAAATTTTCAGTTCTAAGAAGTTCTGAGCCTGTAACGTACAGCGTGGTGATTATAGTTAGTGCTATGGTATTGTATACTTGAAAGTTGCAGAGTGTAGATCTGAAGCATTCTCATCACACATAGACAGAGTTACCTATGTGATGTGATGGATGTGTTAAGTATCGCTCTTGGTAATTATTCCACGATGTATATGTATATCAAATTAACACATTGTACACTTAAATATATACGGTTATATTTGTTAATTATTCCTCAGTTTTTAAAAATGAAGTAAATGTGAGGAAATTAACATTGATACATAGTACAATCTAATCCTCAGACCACATTCATATTTTCCCAGTTTTCCTAATAATGTTCTTTATAGCAAAATGATTTAGTTTAGAATCACATATTGTTTTCAGTTGACATGTCACTTTTAGTCTCTGCTCTGGATAGTTTCATTCATTCCTTGGTATTTAGGAAGATTATAGGCCAGTTATTTTGTAGAATGTTCCTGAATTTGGGTTTGTCTGATGTTTCTTCATGATTAGATTTGGGGTATGCATCTTTCACAGGAATATCATAGAACTGATGCTGTGTTCTAAGTGAAATAAGTGACTTCCAATTCAATTTGTCCATTACTAATGATATCATTTAATTAAGGTGGTGTCTGCCAGGTTTCTCCACTGAAAGTTACTTTTTTTCCCCTTTGTAATTAATAATTATTTTGTGGGGAGGTAATTTGAAACTTGGTAAATATCCATTATTTATCACACTTTCTGATTATTCATTTGCTAATTTATATTAGTATGGGTTCATGGCTTTTTTTAATTCAATGGATTATAATCTATTTTTATTATTTATTTTGATGTTCAAATTGTTTCATATTTGGTCAGTGGGGACCTCTCCATGCTGTCTGTCATGTCATTTTGTTATATTTCCATTATTCTTTGAGAAATTCTTTGCTTTCTGGAATAAAATTGTTTATGTTCATTGTATGCTTTCTCTGCCTCAGCCCTGCAATAAGCCATTTCTTTCTTTCTTTCTTTTTTTTTTTTTTTGGTGAGGAAGATTGGCCCTGAGCTAACATCTGTTGCCAATCTTCCTCTGCTTTGTATACGGGAGGCCACCACAGCATGACTCAGTGAGCAGCGTGTAGGTCCACACCCAGGATCTGAACCTGCGAACCCCAGGCTGCTGAAGCAGAGTGTGTGAACTTAACCACTACGCCACCAGGCCGGCCTTAATAAGCCATTTCTTTAAGGAATCCTAGTTCTTTTAGTGGCGAATGGTATTTTTTAAAATTGTTTTTATTGAGATAATTGACATATAACATTATATTAGTTTCAGGTGTATAGCATAATGATTCGATATTTGTATATATTGCAAAATGAGCACCACAATAAGTTTAGTTAACAGCCATCACCACACATGGTTACACATTTTTTTCTTGTGATGAGAACTTGATGGTCTGCTGTCTTAGCAACTTGCGAATATACAGTGCAGTACTAACTGTAGTCCCCATGCTGTACATCACATCCCAGGACTTATTTATTTTATAACTGGAGGTTGTACCTTTGACCACCTTCACCTGTTTTGCCCCCTCCCTACTCCCACCTCTGACAGCCATCAATCTGTTCCCTGTATTTATGAGTTTGGTTTTTTTTTTTTTTATGTTCCCTGTATAAGTAAGATCATACAGTATTTGTCTTTCTCTGTCTTATTCACTTAGCATAATGCCCTCAAAGTCCACTCATATTGTCACAAATGGCAAGATTACCCTCTTTTTTATGACAGAATAATATTCCATTGTATATATATACCACATTTTCTTTATCCATTCATCCATCAATGGACACTTAGGTTGTTTCCATGTCTTGGCTATTGTGAATAATGCTGTAATGAACATGGGGGTGCAGATATCTTTTTGAGTTAGTGTTTTCATTTCCTTCAAATAAATACTGAGAAGTGGAATTGCTGAATCATATGGTAGTTCTATTTTTAATTTTTTGTGGAACCTCCATACTGTTTTCTATAGTGGCTATACCAATTTGTAATCCCATCAACAGTGCAGTAAATGGTATATTGATATCAAGATTTGTATGCTAGGTGTGCTCATTGCTTTTGAAGTATCTCTACTTCTAAGACCCTTCAATGAAGAGATCTATGAATAAATGTATATGAATTTGTGTGTGTACATGTGTGTATGTGTATACTGTGGTTGCCACGTGTGTTTATCACAATAGAACACTGAGTGAATGATAGAAAAACAAGCGAAGATGCGGTTGGAAGATACAAAGTTTCTTTGATGACCATGGAGATAGAAATACAGAAATGGAAATATGGAAATAGTGCTAGAGAGAGCACAACGTGTTCTGAAGCATGGTCCAACTTCCGAGATGCCCAGTGTCCCTTTATAGGCCTACAGGTGTGGACAAAGCCACCCACAGGAGAAGAGCTTCTACTTTTCATAAGACACTTTCTTTGCCATATTCATGGACTAGGGAGTGGGTGGAAGGGATCTCATTTTCCCACACACTTACCTCTCTGGAGACTCATGCGGCATGCCTGCCTACTCATGAGGTGCAAGAACACGCCCAGCACATTCTGCAGTGTTTTCTGTCAGGCTGGGTTAAGCAATGGCTAATGTCCCAGGAGCATCTCCCAGTGGCCCAGATTTCTCTCTGTGTTTCAGTGAAACTGTTAGGTCATAACCACACTTTAGTTCTTAAGTAGACATTTTTCCAAAGAGGACATCGAAATGGCCAACAGGCACATGAAAAGATGCTCAGCTTCACTAATCCTCGGGGAAATGCAGATCCAAACCACAATGAGGTGTCACCTCACGCCTTTAGGATGGCTGTCATCAAGAAGACAAGAGACAACAGGTGCTGGCGAGGATGTGGTGAAAAGGGAACCCTTATACATTGGTGGTGGGAATGTAAATTGGTCCAACCACTATGGAAAACAATATGGAGGTTCCTCAAAAAATTAAAATAGAACCGCCATATTATCTAGTGATTCCACTTCTGGGTATATACCCAAAGGAAATGAAAACAGGTTTTTGACAAGATATCTGTACTCCCATGTTTATAGCCAAGATGTGGCAACAACTCAGTCTGTGCCCGTCAACAGATGAATGGATAAAAAAGATGTGATACATATACACAATGGGATGTTATTCAGCCATGAGTAAGGAGGCTATCCTCCCATTTGCGACAACATGGATGGACCTTGAGCACATTATGCTAAATGAGATAAGTCAGACAGAGGAAGACAAGTACTGTATGATATCACTTTTATGTGAAATCTAAAATAAATCTGTGAAAAACAGAGATTACCAGCAGATGGAGGGAATGGTGAGGATAAGAGTGATGGTGTTTAAGGGCACAAACTTGTAATGCTTAGTAAATAAGCCATAAAGATCTAAATAAATAAAAAATAGAAGGGGAAAATTAACCAAAACATACTTTAATAATAGAGCTTTATTCTTTAAATTTTCCCTAAGTTTTTTTTTTTGTTTTGTGGACCTAGAGAGATTGGTAATATGGGGGAAAATATATGGAAAAAATAGGCATGTGAGAACAGTTGAAAACGACGAGCTATTGAGGGGAGAAGAAAATAATGCTGTATTTTATGAAACTTCTGGTCTAGATATGAAAAAGCCAGCAGAGCAAAATTTTTTAACAGCTTCGTTTTAGAGTCCAAAATTTTAGTTACAAATATTAAGGTTTTATCCTCCCTCCAATCTGAATAATTTTAAAAAGTCATCTGGTTCTTCCAATTCTTTGAAATAAAGAGTCCAATTTTAGCTCCTCTCCTTTAGTCCCAGCAATCTCTTTTCTTTTCTTCAGTTCCAATCCCTTTTCTTCTCGTGTTTCTGAGATTTCTGTGCCGCACTGCCCCTTCTGTCTAGAACAGAAGCTAACACTCGGCTGGCTCTCAGACACTTCCCTAGCTCATCTTGTCTTTGAGGCAAGTGGATACCTTCTTGCTTTCTTAGATTTTCATTTCTGTTGTAAGCTTAGAATTGGCACCACCTTCAGCTGGGGTGTGTAGGGTGTGCTGGTGCTCAGAGTGGTTCTGAGGTCTGTGTGTCGGTCTGTGCTGGAGGAAGACAGACCTGGACTCTGGGATGCACAACCATACACAGTTGGTGACAACTGCCTTTTTACTCCATTTGTGTCATGACAGGGAAAGTCTTGCATGAGGAGCATGTGGAACTCTTGATGGAGGAGTTTGCATTCCTGAAAAAAGAAGTGGTGGGGAAAGACCTGCTGAAAGGCTCTCTTCTCTTCACAGGTCAGTTTTAGGTGGGGTCGCAGGTCATGTGTAACTGTTGAGACCAGAGGCTAACTGGGTTCTTCCCTAGCTCTCTAGGATGTGCACTTGGATTCTTTTTTGCTCAAGACTCTCTGACTAAGGACCATTTAATTTAATCTTCCCATGCTTCCGTGAACAATAAAATACCTACTTTTCTTCTTTCCTCAAATGAGATGTAATTGCTTGGTGGGCCTTGGGTAAAAAGTGTGTTAGAAATCTCAAGCGTATTTATGCTTCTGTCTCACTCTATTAGGTGGAATTTTCTCTCATGAAATCTTAACAAGTTGGAGATTATTTTTCCACAGGAGGTTGAAAATGAAACCTCTTTTTTAAAAAAGGACTCAGAGATGGGTTCTTGGAGAGAACTTTTTTATACTTCTCTTTGTGGAGCAAACAAAATATGCATAGCCCCTTCTTCCTCCAAGTTACAAGGACATTGGCTGTGGCCAAAATATTTGACCTACCATATATTTGGTTATTTACTTCATGTTTGTCATTTTTTGAGCAGCTCCATTAGCAATAGGAAGTGAGCATCCTGGAGCCTCCTGCTCTTGTGGTCACCTTTGGGTGGACTCCTTATCTGGCTGGACCCAAGGGTGTCTGGGCCACCTTTCTGAGGGCTTTCAGTACAGAAAGGAAACCCTGACATGGCCTGGCATAGTTAAGCGGTAAAACTGTTCATCTCTTCATGAGTTTCCGGAAAATACAGTGAAACCTCATTGCAAAATCCATCTTCGTCCTTTAAAATCATGATAGAATGAGAGTTGTGGTGACATAACAATAACCGTTAATCTGTGCAAGGAACTATGCTAAGTATGTGACATGCATTAGTTCGTGTTAATTCATATGACAATCCTATAAAGGGGGTATTTATTACCCCCTTTATACAGGTAAAAAAATGAAGCTCAGAGAGGTGAATAGCTTCACAAAGTTGACAAAACAGTTAAGTGGCTGAGCCAGCTCAGGCCTCTGACTACAGAGCTCAAGCTTCTGGTGGCTGATCCGTCCTCTCCAAAGAACGGGAGCAGACAGTGACCAGCCCAGAGGGAGCCACCTTTCTTTTTTAAGTTTGACACTTAGGTCCTAGTGATTTCAAACTATGTTGTCTATGAAACTTATAATTTTTGTTTGCTTTTATTTATAACTTATCTTTTTTTAGAACATACTCATAATTATGAATTGCTTTAAGTCAATATCAAAGTTATAGGAAATCTTTGGTTTATAGAGCAATGTAACAGGTATGAAGTCTTATAATTTTAGGTTATGTTTAAAATTTGACCTGGGGACAGTGGGCAGCAGTATCTTGACCCAATGGATTTCTCACACAGGTGCCCTTTTGAATGTACTTTTGTATAGGAGATTATGAAGACTAAGAAAACACTTAACGCTGTATCAGTTTTCTTGATATTGACATAGTTCATAACTATTACCATTTTCTTTATGGCTATCATGATGCTTTCACCCTATTCCCATTATACAGATAGTTATATGGTATTTTTAGAAAGATAGGTTTGAGGGGCTAAAATACCTTGGTTCTTCTTTTTTTACAAGACTTCTTTAAATCACTAACTGAAGAGACTATATATGTATGTGTGTGTGTGTCTATAAGTATATGTATTACACACACACACACACATATATGTTAGAAGCCTGAAACATTTTTATTATCCTGTGTGGTAGATGGACTGCTGTTTCCCATAAAATGTTTCCTTTTACTCACAAAACTGAATTTAATAAACAAGAAACAAGGGAGATGCTTTTATGATAGTGACATTCAAGCACCTGGGTTTCATTGTGGGTCATCCTCACAGCCAGCCCGTCAGGCAAAGTTGCCTCGTCCCGATCGTCTCAGCACTGTCTGTTCACCCCCCGTCATGCCCGCCCACGCCCCCCACCTGCTCTCCCACTGTCAGGCCCTCATTTCCCAGTTCCCACGTGTTTGTGATTCCCCACAGCTGGCCCATTGGAAGAAGAGCGGTTTGGCTTCCCCGCGTTCAGTGGCATTTCGCGCCTGACCTGGCTGGTCTCCCTCTTTGGGGAGCTTTCTCTGGTGTCCGCCACTTTGGAAGAGCGAAAGGAAGATCAGTATATGAAAATGACTGTGTGCTTGGAGACAGAGAACAAACGGTAGGTTGTGAGAAACTGTGAGGAGAAGGAAGCTTGTGGACACCCTCTTGTGTTCACGAGGGTGAATCTGGAGGAGCCCGGCAGCCCTACCCCACCCCCACTCCAGAGGGCTGTCTGCTTCTGAAACAGAACAGGTGCTGAGACTGCACTTCTGTTGCCTCATGGCATCCTCACAGCAGCCCTGTAAGGTAAATAAGACCAACAGGACCCCCTCTGCAGTAAGTAGAGGCTGACAGAATTTGAGAGGTTGCCTCAGCCACGCGAGTGAGCAGTATCAGATGTGGTAGCAGAAATCCAGTTACCTCTGAGGCCTGAATTCTTTCCAGCATTTCATTATGGAAGTTGCAGACGGAGGGAAGAATCTTAGGGAACACCCGTGCGAGTACCCCCCGGATCCTGCTGTTGACATGTTGCCCTGCACGCTTATCGCGTGTCCAGGTACTCATTCCTCAGTGTGGCCAAAACTGAATCAGCTTTATCGTCACGTCACACTATTGTACTGTCCCCAAAATGCTCTGATTCTTTATTTCTCATACCAAGTCTTTTTAAACAAAAAGATATTCATAATTTTTCTTGGAAAGCATTTGGGCTTTTGGGTGTAAAATTTTGAAAACAGCAAATGTTTTAGAGTGTTTCTATATGTTTCCAGGTAGATGGGTCGCTTGGTAGTAAAAAAAACAGACCATTGGGTAGTTACAAAAAGAGAAGAGTATGTGAGTCCCTGAAGGAAGCCTGATCTATGTCCATTTTGAGGGGTTTCCTCTCTTCCCAGGGAAGGGCGGAGGTCGCAGATGCAGAAACTCGTGCAGAGCTGGGAAGTGCTGCCTGTGGAGGGGTAGCAGTGGGGGCCCTGACTGTGACGCCGGCCATGTCATAGTGTTAGAATTGCAGCCATGACAGGTGCAGTCCCCTGTGTTCAGAGCTAAAGGTGGCTCAGAGGGCTCAGGAGCATAGGGGAGGGGGGGCACCTGGAGAGGTCAGATCATGCTTCTCAGAGGAGGAGGTGCTGTGCTCGGTCTTGACGTCTGAGTAGGAGTCAGACAGGAAACAAGACGTGATGGGAGCAGAGGCTGACTCGTTACTGCAGGGCGGGGCAAGCTCCAGGTGAGGGGTTGGGACAGATGGCAAATACCGAATTATAGTAACTTCTTAAATTCGTATAGTACTTTCCACTTCACAAATTGCATTTTTAATCTCATACCACCACCATGGCGTAGGTAAAGCTGTCTGCTTTTTATGATTACTGATTGTTACTGATTAGGAAATTGAGGTGGAGGAAACATCCTGACCTTTTGCATTCCCTCCCTGAAACTCAAGTTACAATGGAGGACACGAGAAATTCCCCCAGGTGGATCAGAATATTTGAAATATCTCAAGTTTATTTTTATCTAGTGTTAAAATAATGCAGTAATTAAGTAGCATTAATATTAATCTTTGTCATCACATTCTGGAATGTTTGTGAAGCCTGTACCATGAGCTTTTAGAACTAGCCATGAGCTGAAACTAACATAATGTTACATGTCAACCATACCTCAAAAAAACAAACAAAAAACTAGCCATGGGAATTAATTTCTTGGAAGAAGTTAGACCAACTTTTTGATAGAGTTTATAATAGTCATTTATTTTTTTAAATTTAAATTATAACCAAAAGATTTTAGTTGATTGATTAAACACCTTAGTTTTACTAGTTTACTAATTTAACTGTTTCCTATATTCTTTGCCTGACCTGAATATGCATTTTTGATTTATAGGCTAGCATTGATTCACACATGAATCATTTTAATGACTTCCAGAATAGAAAACTTGCTCAACTGCAGTTCTTCAAAGCAGACTGGTCCCTGTCTGGTTTATATGCCCCATGGTAGAGTACGTCACGTGACAAAGAAAGGCCGCCTTATCCTGTGAATGCAGCCCTGGCTTCTGACTGTGCCTGGGAAGATGCTTTGGGATCTGTGGGTCTCTTTTCTCTCTGTCCGCCAAGCTTATCTCAGTCTGCAGACCAGATTTTATTTCAGCTATAAGTAGATGTCTTTCCAGGGCTTGTTACGACACATTAGGAGCCTCTGCCTGTTGTTTCCAGACACAATTTCTTATGTTATAGCTACCTTCAAACAGCGTGGTGGAATGGAGTGGAGCCACAGCAGGTGATGAGGAGGAGGGAGGCCTGATCTTGAAACGTCACAATAAAAGACTAGCAGGATGGGGCTAGTTATCTGAATCCCTGTTGTACAAGTACTAGTATCAGCTGTGTATATTGGGTGCTTACTATGTGCTGGGCATGGGCCGAGCCCTTTCACAAGCATTTTCTCATATAATCTTTATACCAGCTCTGAAATGGGCGTGATTATTCTCACCTAGGAAACTGAGGCTCAGAGGGGTTAAGAAACTTGCCAAGGGCATAGAGCTAATAAGTGATGGTGAGAGAATCACACTTAGGCAGCCTGTCTCCAGTTCCCAGATTGTCACACCTTCTCCCTAAAAAATGAACAGGAAGGGCGTGAGAAAGGAGCATCATGGAAAACCTACCAGGCCTTGTCTTTACCTTATCATAGTCCTCACCTCTCAGTAAAGGAGGTATCATTAGCCTCAGATCCCAGAGTTAACCAGGAAACCTTAGTGCAACTTATTCCCAAGCCCGTGTTCTTTTCATTTTACCAGCAGTTTTCAAACTTTGTGAAAATAAGCATTAGAACACCTTTTCAACCCAAATCTTGTGGATAGCCGGTATAGGGAAGAGGTGCATGTTTCAACTCTCCTGTTGAAGCCAGTTGGTAGGAGTAGTGCCAACACCATGCAGGCCCCTGCCTGCTCATCCTTCAAGGCCGGGGGAGGAGCCTCGTTAGGACAGGGCCACCTCCACCGTGCTCGAAGACGCCTGCTGACACTAGGGATGTGCATGTGTTTGAACAGCTTCCTGTAGAAGAGGAGAAGTAAGAAGCGTTTTTGCAGGTAGTCAGTGCCCAGGTTAATGAATGCAAATATTTGCAAATGAAGATTTCCCCCCCCCCCCCCAGGCCTGCCCTCCTGCAGCCCAGTGGGAGAGGAGAGAGGAAGTCTGAGCAGTGGTGGCAGAGACCTGATGCTGCTCAGGTCTAACCCTTTCCCTGTTCACACTGAAAACTCCGTCGGGTAGCACAGCAGTCCAACAGAAGTGCCTCGTCCTTGACCCTGACTCACCCCCCAGAAAGAAACGGGAGGGGAAAGCAACAAGAAGTAGTCAGACACCAGCAGCAAGTCACCTCGTTCCTGGGACTTTGTTCTAAGAAAAGGGAGGAGGGGAAACTGTGTATATGTATATGCATGAAGATGTTGAATGCAGGATATCCATATTAATTTAAAATTGGAAAGAGGTTAAAGATTTGGCAACAATAAAATATTAAATTATATAATCAATTGTACATGATATGCAGCCAAAAATAATCGTAATAGCAATATCTGTACGATCATAGAAATATTTTAAAATAAGGAAAAGAAGCATAATCAAAAATTATACTTGATGGGGGCCGGCCCGGTGGCGCAAGCGGTTAAGTGCGCGCGCTCTGCTGCGGCGGCCCGGGGTTCGCTGGTTCGGATCCCGGGCGTGCACCGATGCACTGCTTGGCAAGCCATGCTGTGGCCGCGTCCCATATAAAGTGGAGGAAGATGGGCACAGATGTTAGCCCAGGGCCGTCTTCCTCGGCAAAAAAAGAGGAGGATTGGCGGATGTTAGCACAGGGCTGATCTCCTCACAAAAAAAAAAAAAAAAAAAATTATACTTGATGATTAATGTTATATGCATATAGACAAATATTTGAAAGGATCGTCTCAAACTGAAGATACTTTTTATTTAGGTGAGAGAATTATGGATTTTTTTTCATTTAAAAAGTCCTTAAATCAATGCTGTATTGTTTTTAGAATGTATTCTAAAAAGCAGATTTTCTCTTTTTCCTGTCACGTTATTCAATGAAGCTTCTTACTGTAGGTCAAGTCTACTTAGGAGGTTTCTCTGTTTTTCATTGGGCAGATAACACAGCTCTTATCTACTATAAAGACAGAAAAGATAAAACCAGAGAAAGGAGAGACTTCAGAGAAGTGGAGTCTATCCTATTTGGATTTTAGATTTTTGTGAGTGCTGACATTAGCCTGGGGGGCAAATTTGAAATGGAGACAGCAGAGAGAATGGTGTTTTCTGGCATGTGCTTGGGGTCATAGACTTCTTTGAGAATGTAATGAACTGTTTCCCCCAAAAATGCACATATCCATGGAAACAACAGTTTGCACAATCTCCGGTGCTTCATGGACTGCCTGTAGCCCTTATCTGGATCCCCTAGAGGGATCCATGAGACTCAGGGTCAAAGCTCCTGAATAACAAGCTGGTGTCCACACAAAGGTCATTGACTGAATTCCCCTGCCTGATGGCAAAATTAAATAAAGGACTGTTTGGCGGTGAAGTTGAAAACAGTCACCCCTGGCCTTTGTGAGGCTGGTGGAGGTCGGAGTGCCACCCTGAGCAGCAGCTGCAGGGGAGACGGGTGTGGAAGGAGGGTGTGTTCCCAGGCGCTCAGGGGCCCGCCAGCGTCCATTTGTAATCTCTAACACATGGTTCTTTCATCTTCGCAGTCCGCTGACGTGGATTGAAGAGAAAGGGCCTGGTCTAAAACGAAACAGACATTTAAGCTTCCACTTCAAATCTGGGTCCCTGGAGAATATGCCAAATGTAGGAGTCAATAAGAATATCTTCCTGAAAGATCAAAATATATTTGTCCAGAAACTCTTGGGCCAGTTCTCAGAAGAAGAACTGGCTGCTGAAAAGAAACGCATCCTGCACTGCCTGTGGCTCGCGGAAGAAATCCAGAAATACTGCTCCTCAAAGAAGTAAGAGAAGGGAGCAGCGTGGCACTTCCAAGACAGGACCATAGTCTGATTTTTATCGAGTTGACCTTTATCTCTCTTCTTACAATTAAACATGTCTTGGGTAAACAGGATTTGCTTATTGTCACGCCCTGTGTGGGGAGTGATGTTGGGGGTGGGGCGCATGCACTGGGGACGAGGGAAGAGCTAACCCTGGGTGAGCTGCGCTAAATGCTTATCTGCCCGGTTTGATTTACTCTTCTCAACAGCTCTATCAGATGGGTATTACCAGGCTTGTTCTCATTAGTATATTGGAAAATTCTGTTTGAAGTCACCCAGATAGTCAATAGCAGAACCAGCCTTTAAACGCCACTCATGCACTGAGCCACCACACAATAGTGCCTTGAACCCTCTTTAAGGAATTTTATTTTCCCCTACAAACTTTCACTGGGTGACTGTGCTAGGTGCTGGGGATTCTAAAAGTGAATAAGACATAGCCACTGCCCTCAATAACTCAGTGTCCAAAGGGAACCACTCACACGAACTGGTCATTGCAATGTAGTAGGTCCAATAAAAAGGGATACGCCCCTGGCTATCTGGAGAAAGTTGAGGGAAGACTTCCAAACCAGATGTTGATGATGAGTAGGTTAGCTGTGCAAAGGTCAGAGGAGGCTTTCCTGGCAGAGGACTGGCGTGAGCAAAGACAGGGAAGTGGCAAGCAGCCTGGCGAGTGCCCTGGGAACAGTGCTGCTGGAATGTCGGGTCTGGGGAGGGTGTCCCGGAGAGGCAGATCTGATATGGGGCCCCTATAAGCCAGGTGAAGGAGCTGGGACGCTATTTATTAGGCAGTGCAGAGGCACTGATGGGTGTTAGTTAACGGGAGTGGCATGGTGTGGTTTCCAGTCTAGGTGAAGCGCTCAGAAGGGTGCCTAGAGGAGAGGAGACTTGAGACCAAGGAGCAGGGGTCCAGCTGAGAGCCAGCAAATGTGTTTGCACTTGCAGCCTGTGCCCTGTCTGGACTCGTCGCTCATGTTGCGTCAGACTCAGCTGACCTTGAGGCAGAGCTGAGTCCCATGAAGCTGCTCTTTGATTTCATTGGTGGTCCTGTTGGATTCTTTTCAAAGCCTGTGTTAGATTTCTTCTTCTGTAAATGTCTACCTCTTGGTTTTTGCCTGCTCCCCACTTGCCATTGTGGGGTTTAACCAGTTCAAAAGCTGAGCTCCTTAATGGAGGCAAACTCTGTTTTGTACCTCTGTTTCTCTTCTTATAAAGTAAAGAAGACAATATATTAAATCTAAAAAAAAAAAAAAATCCTTTAGGTTATTCTTTCATTTGCCATTTAAAATAATTTGTAATAAATATTGGTCAATTGGTTCTCTTATTGTCCACATCAAATGTCCCTTGACGCCAGGAAGTATTGTTATCTGTTTTTGTATGCTGTGCAGCATCTAGCATGAGGTAGGTATTAAATATTCGATGATTAAAATGCACTGCACTAGCCTCTCCCATTTGGGCTTGATAACTCTGCTGTTTCAAAAATATTGGCCCTATTTGATATTGGAAGTGGGGGCGGGTGTCAGAGAGAACCGGAGCTGGACAGTAACGTGGTGTAAATAGATTTTATTCAGGACTGTCGCAACAGAGGAAAAGAGACCTCAGTCTAGATCTGGGCTCCATTCCAAACATGGCGTGTGCAAGTGAGCAATATAGCCAAGGGGCAGGGTAGGGGTCAGCGGATGGACAGTTACTAGGAGGAGACACCAGGGGTGAGGGGGGATTCTAGCTAAACAGACTTCACGAGATTCTTGCTGAAGGGAGGCCAGGGTGGTCAGATACCAAGAGTGGGGGATGAGGAATTTGATGTGATATTGAGGGTGAGATTCTTATTAAACTGACTTAGGATTTTTGGTAAAATTGGGCAATGCAAAGACAGACATGGAAGTCCAAAGGTCGAGGCCCGGTTGAGAAGAGGGTTCAGAGGAGCCTGACTAAAGTTTGGTCAAGGAGAGGGTCTTTGTCATAGGCTGTGGTTACTAACTGATGTTGATAACTTTTCATCTCAAGCTTGTTTTGTCTTTAGTCAAGAGATTCAAAATGAAGGCATCCATTAATTTTACTGATTGGTAGGAACTGCAGAGGGAAGAGGAAGAGAAGACAGGAGAAAACAGAACCTAGAGAGATCATGGTGGAGCAGCGGTCTTCCTTACTCTTCAGTTTATACTGCCCTCGTCTTCCTTTGGGGCTCTGCAGCCGTCCTGGCTACACCCCACTGCAGCATTTCCCAGATACTCCTTCCTATGAAGAGCACACCCCTCCCCCAATCACAGTTTCTTTTCCGGAGTATCACAGAGTAAAGGAGCCACAGTATCCCGCAGCCATCTATTCAAAGTACCCCAACAAGGGTGCCCTTCGTTTTCTCCCTTGCCTTCAGGCTACCTTGACTTCCTTGGGAGGTCTAGTGAGAAAAGGGGGATTTGAGGTTTGAGATTTGAGAACAAATTAGGCTCTCTCCAACTTGAAGAAAAAAGCCTTTTATCCCAACTGTACTAATGCCTGTAAGTGTTGAAGGGTCCTCTAGGAGGAAGGTAACTTAGAGTATAATGCCCTTGACTGTCTCCAGGGAAAGTAACTTACAGCGGTGTTTCCCTGACCCCTCTCTACCCTCACCCACTCCTCCCTTGGCAGGAGTAACCTGCCCACCTGGTAAAGCTAAGAAAGAGACTGCGCACACAATCCCAGCCACCCTCTCGACGCACCTGAGTCCCCTGCTTATCCGCGTGGTAGGTGACCAGAGTGGGCGCTTCCTCTGCAATGGGGTGGCCTGCAGCCTTGAAGAGGAGTTAAGTTACTCTAAGAGAGGGCAGGTTAGCAAACCTACCTGGCTGTAGATGCCAGCCACATTCCCCAATCAGCTTCATCATTGTAAAACTGATTCTTTCTTAAAAACTTCATCTCTCTCCTGCATCTATAGCTTAACTGGTCCCTAAAATTTGGAAGGAGAAAAAGGAATGTTCCTCACTGACCCATTAAATTCCAACAGTATGTTATCTCCTTATGGTCCTCTGCCTGAAGGAACTGAGTGAAAAAAGAGGGTGAATATTTTAGTCAATGACATTAGCGTTCCTCAAGAAAAGCTTATTTTGGGAAAATTCCTTGATAAGCCAGTCCATTTGCAGTGGTGACGTTGGAGATGGAAGGGTTGAGGGAGGGGATGTAACAAGAGCAAGCTGTGGAGACCTGGGTTGATGGGGTGAAAGGGAAAACCTGCTAGACAGACCTCTCTGCGAAGGGGATGTGAGTGGGGAAGGCGAAGGGGACAGTCAGAATGTGCTGTGCCGACCAGCAGCCTTGGCGCTGGCCTGGCCTGGGAGCTCTCCGCCCCCCTCAGGCCTGCTGAATCTGCATCTGTGTTTTGATAGGACCGCATGGTGACTCCCGTGCATCGCAAAGGCTCCTGGAGCTTATGGACGAGTGAGGAAGAAAAATGTTATTTAAATTATAAGTGTTAAAGCACAACTGTGAAGAATGCTACAAAGAGGGTTTTAAAGGCTTGTGCTGGGGAGAGTTTTTTCTGGGCGAGAAGTCAGGGACGGCTTCCCTAAAGAATGTGCTGAAACCTGAAGGTTGAGAAGGACTTTTAGCAGGTGCAGGCAGGCAAGAGATGGGAATAGCATTCCAGGCAGAAGGAACAGCACGTGCAAAACCACTGTGTCCAGCTATGCCTGAGGCTAGCACTACGCCTGGGTCTGTGGGCACCTTAAATTCCTTTTTGTTAATTCCAATTGGCTTTTCTAAACCTAGACATTTTTTTTCAGGTTGTGGAATGAGAATGAGCTACTAACAAACATTGGAAAGTCTCTTTTGCTGACTTGAAACAATTGTGTTAGTTAGCATTTATTAAGCAAGCAATATGTTCCACTCCTGGTGCTAAGAGTTTTACGTACCCTATTCCATTTACCCTTAAGAACTCCCACATAAGGCCATGTACAGTAAGCACTCTTCATTCATCTTTTTAAACAAATGATGAAACTGAGACTCAGAATGTAAACCACACGGCCAGGTTCCCTCACCTAAGTCAGGAGTTGGCGAAGTACAGCCCGCAGGCCAGAGCTGGTGGCCGGCTGCCTGTGTAAAGTTTTGTTGGAACACAAACATGCTCACTCATTTACATACTGTGTACGACTGCTTTCACAGTACAATGGCATTGTTGAGTCATTTTGACATAGACTGTATGGCCCACCGTCTAAAATGTTGACCATCTGGCCCTTTACTGAAACCGATGCCAACCCCTGTTCTAGGAGGAGGAGCCCAGAGCTGACCTCAGACCTCTGGCTGCGGTTTTCCTTTCAGTCCTCATGCCCCCACTCATGTCAAGGAAAAAGGTATAGACACTGTCATGTCATAAACACCAAAATGTAAAGTCTGGAAACTGCAATGGGCAAACAGAACACACTTTCCAAATTTCATCGTTAACTGTTTCTGGTTTTAGTATGTGTCGTTTATTCATTACTTTGTGCTCAGCTAACATTCAGTGAAGACCCGTGATGTGTGTGTGCTGGTTGTGCTGGGTTCCGGGGAGACTGAGGTGAGTAGGACTTGGCCCCTGCTTCAGGATGCTGACAGCTTACGGAGGAATGGCTCACACCAGCTGGAGAGTGTGGTGTCCTAGGAGGGGCACGGCCTGAAGCCGGGGGACCCCAGAGGAGGAGGGAGCACTTCTGCGTGAGGTGTCTGGGAGGAAGTGGCATCTGGGTTGAGCCAAATAAGGAAGAAGTAGGAAAACAGGAAAAAAGAGAGCGGTGCAATTTGACAGCACAGAGGAGCGGGGTAGGAGACGCAGCTGAGAGGCAGGAAGGGGCTAACCTGGAGGACTCCAGGGACACAGAGCGGGGAACCTCAGGAGGCTGCCCGCAGCCCCAGTCATACTGCTACAGGGGTTTGTGGCCCTGGTAAAATCATCTGATGTGTCTGGGGTTCTGTTTCCTCGTTTTAAAAGAAGGGGTAGGACCAGATAGAGTCCTTTCAGGATTTTGAGCGAGAGGGGGTCATGAGTAGAGCTGCATCTCAGGATGATGGGCCCTGGAGAGGAGGTCGGGCCCGTGTCTTTCTCCCCAGGCAGGTGACTGACAGAGGGGCTGTGCCCTTGAG